GTGATCAGAAAACTAAGTTTACATTCCTGGCCCCAAAATGGTTAGATATTTATTTAAAAAAAACAGCTCAAGTTGTTGCAAATGTCTAGATCAAAAGTAATTATTATAATGGAAATTTTAAAAAAAGTGACAGAAAAACAATCACGTGAGAGATTTGCGAACAGATGTTAAATATTATGAACATCCTCACCGCTGTGTGAGCCTATTTCCATATATATATACCCATCCTGCCAAGAAAAGTACATTACAATTTTCGCATTTATTATATTTTTGTGTGCCACGCTTCGTTTACCTCGTCTGAAAGCCTACTTTAAAATAGTATATGCTCTGTTATGTTCTCATTCCTTTAAATATTAAAATTAGCATAGCAATTTTCACTTTTTATACAATCAAAATTACATCAGCCACGTAACATTCCTTCTGCTGACTAAGAACTATACAAGATGTATTTTTCTCCTTAATATTATGTTAGATATATTTAGTATTATTTGTCAATAACACTGAGCGAGGAGAAAGTTTACAGATTAATTCAAAGACAGAACAGAATTTATTGGTAACATAGGGTTAAGAGCGGCGAAGTAACCACTGTACGACGGGTTATGGTTATCCCACAAATTCACGAATATCAAGTATTGCACGATTATAATAAATACAATTAGACACAATTAACTCTAAAGATATCTTCATATCAGTCAGAATGTTGAAATAAAAACAAGAACAAACCATTCAAACTAAAAACCACATATAGTAAACTTTATATTGGTCTTTTGTCTCAAGGATGTGTTGTAAATTTTCTAAACTTAACGTAAATAAATAATAACATAACGTATTATTTGTAACTAATATCAAGGCTGAACTTCATTTTAGAGCAGAAAATGTCAACTTTTAAGTTTCATATTTTAAAGTATTTGTAACAAAAAGATCTAGAAAGTACATATCTGCTTTTAAGATTCTAATCAGAGTGGAAGATGGTGATTAAAAAACATTGTGCGACAGACCACGTGTTATCATTTTATATCCATGTTATTAGACAATTAGTTTTATAAAAGCTAAACCGTCAGGCCCTTAGCCACAGCCAAATCCTAGGTGGTGTTAAACCAAGCAAATCAAATACTGATAACATTATATTTAAAGTTCGGTAAAACAAAGGTTACATAAACCGATGTTTATTTTACTGTGAGGAGCCCTTCGTCTTATTCACCACGTTTAAGCAAATTAGTTACATCCTGGAGATCAACTGAATACATAATGAATTCTGTCAAGGGGGGTAGCAACGGTGGAAGAGTTTTGTCCAGCGACCCTGTTACTAGTTTAACATTTTCACCACCCTCCCCCCCGGCAACAGTCCTGTCGTAAGAAATAAACTTATCTTCCTCATTCTTAACTCCCAGTCATACACATGTATCACGAGTCGCGTGACCCCTCCCCATCCATCCTTCCAGAGCCTCTGCATGTAACGCCCGAAGGTTAAAGTGACTCAGGCTGGAAGAACGAAGAAAGCACAAGCATATATGTGGGTTGCTTGTTAGAACACTAGTTTTTTTCAGTCCATAGCTAACAATGGTCTTTATATTCACGACAGAAACTTCAAGAGTAACGCACACATTCTCTCCAGATTGCCATTAATTTATTACAATTATACGGTGCTAAAATTTTATGAGTAAGAAAATATTAATGTGACACGTATCGTTTCTGGGTTGGGAAAAGTTAAGGATACCTAACTGATGTATTGAAATTGTTGACAAGTTAGATATTATAAAAAATAACTTTTAAAAAACTTAAAAGTATTCCACAATTTTCTAAAGTTAAAACATGAGAAGCTTCAGAAATGTTAGCAGTTTTACATTCTAAGCCAGACGAATAATTATTAGGTTTAGTTTTGATTTATGGAGAAACAGGGCATTTAGGAATGGGTGGAATGGAGAATTGAAATAATTAAAAGTGATTTTTGTGAACTAACATACGCCTACCAAATGAAAATAAACGATGTAAATGAGTCATAAGATAAATAGCCATTATGCCCATGTTCTTCTAATTATTGAATTGAACTTTAAAGTATGTGAATAATTTGAAAAAAAGTATATGCATACACAATTTTCCCGCTATTATAGATGCGGAACATATAGTTAATTATGAGAAACTCACTAGAAACTTATTTCATCTCAAGAATGTATATGAAGCATATTTATTACGTCACAATCTACATAAAACCTGGCCAGGAAATGGAAGTAGTCGTATTGTTTAGTTGTGTTCAGTAACACAGTCACTTCCAGTTTACTACCATGGCATTGTATATGATGCAAATAATCCTATAGTCGATTAGTAATAGGAACTAGCAGGAAATGACGTGTATTACTCAGTAATCATTATCTATGAGTAACAGTGAACTTCCCTGTGCACCTCTGGAACAATGAGCAGCCTGTGTTGGCACCTGCTATCACAACTTCCTGTAAAACATTTAGTTTCGACTATTAAACTTTATAATGTATCATAAGCTCAATACTTGTAGTTTTTACATCTCTTCCTCTTAACAGGCGAAGTAACTAACAAGTCTACATTGAACTGTACCATTACATTTTACAGAATTCAATCACTGCCGAGTTATAACCAACAACAACAACGAAAAAACAACAACTATTAAATATGATCTTAACACTAGAATTCTTCTAGAAGATACACTATTATACATTAATTCTTAATTTTCTGAAAGCCCACTTACACTCCACGTTATAATTAATTAAGTTCTGCTTAAATAGCACGACTAATAACTTTAGAAATGATTCACGAGGTTAGGAATTTAAGTATTGATTAAATCTAAATATCTTATGCAAATGACATTCACGACAGTTTCTTGCAAATGATAAACATTAAAAGACACGGAAAATATAAGGGTGTCTTTAAAGCTTTTGTTGCTCGTGGATTTTTAAAATACTTGTTCAAAGTACAGATCAAACTATTTGCGACTAAGCGTATATTAAAATATTTATTAAATGTTAAATGGGTGAATGTTAATCCACGCTATATTAAAAGTAGGTAAAAAATTTTCATTTGAAAAGTTACTCGTGCCTCGATCAACCTTCTTTTAGTTTAAGAAGGATGATTCATATAATTTCTGGGAAATCTGCGTGGGATAATTCGTATTTTTATGTAGTTTAAGATTGCGATTTCCTGTCCACTTGAGAAATTCTTATCCGGTGATAAACAGTTGGTAAAAGTGTTATATCGATTGTTGTACAAACCCAAAAGATTGTTCATGTCGAGTTTAGAATGAATGTCAGAATGCAGCACGACGTTGCCGTCTTACGAATGTCAAACGAGTCTGGTGAAGATTAAGACTGAAACCTACGCACGTTTACTTACTTCAGCAGTGATTTAAAATTATAAGTGGACGTATTATTACAATTGCTTCTTTAAACTTAGGTGGGGTAGGAGAAGCTCAAGCGATGTCAGTTGTAGAAGGCGTAGTTTTAACTTAATATATATCGTCAACCGATGTCCATTCATGATAAGAACATGTATACTGTAAAAACACGACTACATTCTATGGATTTTTTGATTAATTATTACCCCTACTCTTGTATATGATTTAAACCACACATCCAGAGAAAGGATAATGAGAGCCGTTACCCCCCCCCCCCAACTTAAATCTTAATTTGTTTCAGTGAGAAAGAAATAAGATTATACTAAACCACCAGAACACCAGACTGAAATTTCCTGCACATTCAAAAGCGTACATGCAACACCCAAAATCATGAAATCCACCGCTTTTTCTATTGGAAGAGATATCCCTCCCCCTCTCATCTATATTTTGGTCCCAAATTCTACCCAGGGAATAAATACTACATTTCGAACTCTTTTAATATTATTCGTTAATTGAAGTAGTGTATTTCTCATTGTAAACCAAAGCGAAAAAGAAATGCAACTGGATTACAATGATACATTTACCATTGGTCTAATTATGGTTCGAGTTTGGTTTTATCATCATCATGATCATTTATGTACGAGATACATAGGTACTTGCATGCAATACTTTAGTATAGAAGCATATTATACTAATATAATAATAGATTGGCAAACAATAGTTTACAAACATATTGAAGTCGTTTATTTTAGAAAAAACATACTTGATGTTTCACCAGGGCGCATGTTTGTCTTTATATCACACTGCAAGCAAGTTTTTTTTCTTGTTTTGTTTTATTTATAAAAAGTTAAGATAACTGTTTAAATGTTACATAGGTTTTAAGAGTTCTACAAATTTATGAAAACCGTTTTTTCTTCGCTAATAACTAGACGAATGTAGACCAGGAAACATATTGTACAACTATCATTTCTCAGACCTGTAGGTGTCGCTTTTATTATTGTATTATGCTCTCCAAAACAAGTTATTTTCTAAAATTTTTAAAACACGTACAAGTATTACGATACTTATTTATATAAAAATTCGTCTACATTAGTTTAATGATAATATTAAAAAAGTCTTACCCTTAAAATTAATTTGGGTTTTCGAATAAAATATGGTTTTGCTTAAACATGGTTTACGATTTAACACTTGTGCAGATTCCTTGACGCGTGTTTGTCATTGCCACATACCTCGTAAATCACAGTTTCAAGAAAAAGAAAACCGCTTTTCCTCAACCATTCTGGAGGCCAGCTGAAACGAATGGACGTCCCTAAGTCTACATTCCTTGACAGCCGTCCTCCCCCCACCATCTTGTCAAGACCAATATAGATCGGTCTGACGATACCAATATGCGAACAGCCAACCTACACTATAATATAACAGTTCAATGTTGTGGTTTCCACAGCGTACTAGCAGATAAGAAAAAAATTAACTCAACCCTCATTTAGAAACTGAGCCGATTTTTAAGTGTTTGGCAAACTCAATAATTCGCACCCTCAAATTCGATGTATAGATTAAAGTACCATTTTCTTTCGTTCAGTGCAAGCTTTTATCTTTTCTAAACTACTGCTAACGATTTATTTTATAAAACAGGTTATATATTCTCACCTCGTACTTCAATCCTGTCATTCGCAACCATGTTTCAACTTTCAGACAAAACGGAGATGCCGAAGGCACTACTGGACACCGCACAAACTGATACAAGTATACAACGTCTTTCTCGTAATCAGTTTTGTGCACGATAGGCCGGTTTCTAGGTTGGGATACAGTCTTGGTATTTTCCTCCTCTTTAATTTCATTATTAGTGGTGTTCTCTGTAGCAGCATCGTTTGTTGTTACCTCGATAGTCGTGTTTTCTGTACTCGTCATGGCTTCAGCTGTCAAGAGGCAAAATCTCCTTCAAAATGGCGTGCGCTAAAGTATCACAGAAGCGATGACGAACTCGAAGTGTACAACGCTCCTGAACTTCTCCTGTGTACTCACTCTACGCGAACAGCTACGGTCTTTCTTCTCACGCTCGTGAACAACGCGCATGTGGAGCTTTAATCCCATAGGCTGAAAACGTTATAACTCAGTTAATGCGCACGCACCAAAACAATGATGCAACGAATAGGAAATAAGCTAGTGGGGATTTAAATTTTCACAATACAACCCCCACAGAACAAAACAACACAGGGCTAAAAAGCAAACAAATCATCCATATCCAGACCATCTAATACCAACAAATCTGACAAAATTCATGGACATAGCCATAAAAAGAAATGTGTACCAGAAAGTATAAATAAAATGCATTTTCAGCACGCAGTTTACCATAATCAAGCCTAAAATTAGCAATAGTTCAGTAGGGAAGAAGAGGTCTAGATTGTACCTGACCCTCACAGTTCTACAAAGACTTAAATCCCGATGCCAAAACGAGACGCAGTTATCTAATTACTTCTCTGCGGTTGATATATATTTTAAGACTAACATCAGGCCACCTAACGTTAGACTTTGAAAATAAATATCATTTAACTAGTTCATAATAAAAGTATTAATTAGGGTATTTGTATCTAATACTCTTGTCATGAATCAGTGAAATGAATGTGTCGTGATATACAGAACTGTTTGTCATGTATAGAAATTATATACACCAAGGATGTTTGTTTGTTTGGAATTTTACGCAAAACTACACGAGGGCTATCTGCGCTAGCCATCCCTATCTTACAGTGAAAGACTAGAGTGAAGGCAGCTAGTCATCACCATCCATCGCCAACTCTTGGGCTATACTTTTACAACGAAACAGTAGGATTGATCGTCACATTATAACGACCACACGACTGAAAGGGCGAGCATGTTTGACGGGATGGGGATTCGAACCCGCGATCCTCAGGTTGCGAGTCAAGCGCCCTAACTACCTGGTCATGCCGGACGTACACACACCAAGGAAAAAAATGTATATTCCGCTACAAGATGCTACACGTAGTATATGAATGGACATGGCTTTGATATGGTTGTTGTAACTAATTAGACTGTAAACGGTACACAACCGTCACATATAATTCATTTAGCATTTAGTTGACACGATGATTACAACACAGGAGGGAGGAAGGGGTCCTTGACAGTACCCGACCCTCCCAAATCCTAACAAAGGGATCTAAGTCCCGATCCAGAAAGATCCAGACGCGGTTATCTGTAGTAGCCCCTTAGCTCGTTCTTTCTGCAGTTGTTACCACAAGAGTGCAATGTTTTACTTTGCACCTCATCTACGTATAATGTTTTACTGACAAGTCATGAACAATCTCCAATCATCAGGATATGTGATAAAGTAAACGCCTTAGCTCGTTCTTTCTGCGGTTGTTACCACAAGAGTGCAATGTTTTACTTTGCACCTCATCTACGTATAATGTTTTACTGACAAGTCATGAACAATCTCCATTCATCAGGATATGTGATAAAGTAAACGAATAAAATTGTCCTTTAGTATTAGGTTCTACGATTTTTTTTCTAACTGTTTCCCATTATCCGGCTTATATCTAGTACTCTTAAATATTGTTTGTGAATTTTTTTATAGTCGCTATATATATATAGTAAGATATGAAACATTTTACTATCCTTACAGTGAAAAATGATATATTTTGTTGTCAATATAGTTAAGACATGAGTTATTGAATCGTTATAGTTAAATAATGAATCATTTTCTATTTGTTATAACTAGCTATAAATCATTTTGTAATTGGTATATTGTTTATTTCTTTCTTTCTTTTGTTGCTAAGCTATGTATGGATCATATGGTAAGCTTTAAAGTTAATATTATATTGTTACACTGTATTAGAATATGAACCTATTTATCCATTTTACTTTTTCCAAATTCCAGATAAAATTAAATAATGCTTGTCTTACTAATATGTGATTTATTATGTGGCGTTTAAATGCCACGGCTTTGGTTTTATGTATTTGTTCTTATTTTTTGATCCATCTCTACTTTAGTTTACTTTCGTTTAGTTTGTACTTTTGAATGGTGTATTTATACACACTTTTAAAACCACGACAATCAACAATAGTTGTACTAGATTTTAAATTTAAAAATGCAGAAGTTCTATAAGAGCAGGTATATAGAAACGAAAATAGATGTGACATTTTTATTTAATTAATTAGTTTTTGTAAATCATTTGTGGAAGAAAATAAAATGCAATTTACAAGTTTAAGCAGTAAAAGTTCCAACTTCTTTTTTCGGTCTTTTTTTTTAAATAAATATTATTACTAATTTTTGTCTTAAAAGTATACCTTCTTTCAAACTTGTATTTCTTCACTAAATATTACAGTTTGTTCTTTTGTACGATTACTTGTAGTATAATATGCAGTGCGTTGTCTTTCGTAGAAATAAATTGAAGGACACGCACGTGGAATTGGTCATAAAGCATTTAAACTTTTCAATTAGGATTTATATTATTACCATTAACAAATTAGAGGTAATTCCCTTTAGCTTTTGTGTATATGTTTCGAAGCTTCTGATATTATGCATTCTTATCGTGTCTCGTACTTTCCACAAACAGTCGGTTTCTGGTTTCCTTTTTATAATTACTAAAGTATTTTCTAGGCTGTGGACAGACTGCCTTATAGTTATTACTTCCTCGAAGCGAAGTTGGTAAGGGGAAAGCTTCAACACCTTTTTTCTATATGAATGCATCTCTTCTTTTTTTTTCTTTTTCTCAATAGCTATTTTAAAGCGTTCACATTAATATTTGAACACAATTTTACGGATGAATTTAGTGTCATTATGGATTATTCATTTAGGTTTTCCCCAACAAATCACTCAGAATGTGTTGATCTTATGGTTAAAGTTTAATATTATTCAAAACGAAAACTTGATCTCAATTTTTACTTCTTTTGCTTTTATATTGACCCCAAAGCTTTAATCCTCTGCGTTACAGCTTGTAATAATATTTGCTCACAACTCAGTTCTGAAGTGCTGTGATACTTAACACTATATAATATTTTACTTTAAGATCTAAATAACACTCTTTATTTTAAGTGAAATGCGAGGCGATGAGAAATGAGTTAGTTAGTTTGTTTGTTTTGAATTTCGCGCAAAGCTACACGAGGGTTATCTGCGCTAGCCGTCCATAATTTAGCAGTGAAAGGCTAGAGGGAAGGCAGCTAGTCAACACCACCCACCGCCAACTCTTGGGCTACTCTTTTACCAACGAAAAGTGGGTTTGACCGTCACATTATAACGCCCCCTGGCTGAAAGGGCGAGTATG